AATGAAATATAAGCAACACATACTTACGCACGTGATCATTCATATACATGATGGTTATAAAAGGCACATTACACAAAACTGAGCTCTGAGTATAATTTATTCATATACTTGCCTAGAAATTTGTTATACAGGCAATAGGAAACATTACAAGTGCTCAATTTTAGGATAATACTTAGTAACAAAAATAGCTCGAGAGAATTAATATCATTTAAGTCAGACAATGTACAAGGCTTTAAAACATTCCTATTTACAAATCTGCGTGAGTGCACAAGACAACGCTGCAATGAGCACCTCAGAGCTGTTCTGAAGATTGCCCTGGTCCATTTCAGAGTCCTCTGCTTCACTCAGCCACAGCCTCGATTCTTCACTGCTCATCTTTGGTTAAGCTTTTTTTGCTTCTTTTCCCCCAGGTCTTATTTCACAAATTCCCTAACAAGGAAGATTTCGGTTCAAACACCGAAAATTTAGTTTGTCCACAGGAATATCCCTATACCTACAACAGTTGCAAATTTATAATTTCAAAAGGCTTTGGTCATGGGGTTTTTAACTTGGAACAATCTTTGCTTGTTTGTTTTCCTGAGAAAAGGAAGAAGTGAATGTCTCCCTAAAATATTTTTAGGTTTACTTCCCTATTCCTGTTTATTGATTCAGCAAATGGTATATTGTATGCTGAGCACTGCAAACCCAAAGAGGAAAAAATCTTCAGGATTCCAAAACTTCACTTTTCCAACCTCCAAAATACTAAGTGGACACCTACTGAAGTAATGAGCATACCTTTCCATTGCCATCTTCAGCATGTTTGGTCACAGAACCTTTATGGAACTGATAACTTATAAATTAAAAAGAGAAAAACAGGAGAATTCCTTACCCGTATTTCTTTTGGGTGGTTCAAATACTATTGGTTGCTGTGAGAAAATATTGTGAGTGCGCAGAAAATAATAAGTTTTTTTAAGTAAGAAATTCATTGATTTCTAAAAATCGCACTCATAAGCAGTCTGACCTTAACCTTTAGTCTTTATGAGACATTCCACTCTCAAATGAATTAAAAATGTAACTTTAAAGGGCCCTTGCAGGTTGACGATGATTCTATGCATTTGTGGCATCTACAAAATCAATTTAGGAGTTAAAATAAAAATAGCTAAGCTGAGTATTTCGTAAATACAGTATGTAACCTTTCTTAGATGTCTAGGAACTGGTTAGGCCAGGAACTGCTCTTATTTTATCTCATTGAAAACAAATCCTTTTTCATAAGAAAAAATCTCTACCTAAAAAAAATCCTTTGCATCTCCAAACAAAGTGGCAAAATGACAGAGTAATTGTGACTGACAAAATCCCTTTCTGCTCCTGTCACTCTCAGTCTGAAAAAATCCCAACTGTCTCCTGGAAGAGAATGTCACATACACTAGGGACAACATGGAGACCATTCTGGGGAGGAAGTGGGCAACAACCTCAGCTATCAGCCCGCACCCCAGTGATGTTGACCCTAGCTGTAATGTGTAACTTGCATTGATTTTAAAAAGCCAGACTTGCTGATCTGAGAATTGTGGGTTGACTTTGATTGTCTGACTGTGAATTCCATAAGGCTTAGTTGGTTTATAAAGCTTAATTTTTAATACTGTGAACATCATCTAGCCAACTAAACACCAAGAATATCAATAAATATCAATAATTAGCTCTGGTCTCACTTCCTCTTTTTGTTGGAGCATTTTGACTTTACGTACATTGCAGTCTTAGCGTCAACCCCCCACTAGGGTTTAAAATTCCATGCCGGAGCACATCACCTGAATGTGGCTCCCACATGCTTGAGGATATTCCTGGAGTTGAAAAGAAAAATACAACATGAGCGTAAGAACAGGATGCCAATGGGTTAGCATGAAAGTTGTTTTTGCTGGGACCCTGGAGGTCAACTGGAGCAGTCAGTCAGAAATGACTTGTGACCATGGCTGTAGATAGGGGTTTTTCTCACAAAGGGCTTTCAACCATCCTTTTCTTGATTTGTAGGTAGAAGATGCGGTTTTCTTCAGGATAAGTGAGTTTACTGAGGGGCATCCTGTAGATGTTGGGGTTTTTTGTGGTCAGCAAGAGGAAAAGTAGTGTTGCCAAACAGAAAGGCCAAGTACCAGCTGGCAATCCAACCTGGGGAAGAAGAGACAGGACACATGCTCCTTTGAGAGCCCATCTGAAAGCTAAGCTGCACAGAGCAGCCCCCTTGTTCCCATTCAGCCCAGGGGGATGAATCACTGGGATATTGCCCTGGACCCTGCTTGTGCTCGTGGGGACTGAGTCTAAAATCTCAGGGCATTTAATAGTTGAAAATTTTCATCTAATCTTTAGGGTGGCCAGTTATATCTCTATCTTGCATGTCTTTCCCTCCTTCTCATACATTCAGACACCCTACCCTGGCTGTGCAAAGACGGCACTTGGAACATGTGGAGATGACACTTGCAAACTGCTAGTGGTCCCTGACCACTCATCACATCCACAAGGCCTTCTCTGACTAGTTCAGCCTATAGTGACCTCTCTGACCCTGACTCCTGCCCAGTCTATGTCTTGCTCACTTGCTTTGCTTTTTTCCACTGTGTCTCTCAAACAGACACTAAGTTCCTTGAGGGCAGGTCCTTCTTTGTGCTGTCCATGGCAACTCACACAATTCTGAGCATATACCATTGGTTAGCTCTGGCCCTAGGCATGGACCCTGGGGTGTGATGGAGTGTAGGAGTACCCTAACTAGTCTGCACGTGCAAATCATCTGGGGGAGTTATTTAAAAAAAAAAACACAGGTGGTCAAGCATCCTAGAAGACCTACTCTATCAGAAATGTCAGGGGACAGGGCCTAAGAATCTGTGTTTTTCAAAGTCTCCCTAGCTGAGCGTTGTGTAGCTTGCCCATTCTGGCCATGGGCAGATGCCTGTAAATCTTCTTTGTTGAAATATGAAGGCCCCCACATGCTCTGATGTACTCCCCATCCTGCATGCCTGCAATGGGACTTCGGCTTTCCACCATAAAGACATCGTGTCTCCATAAGGAACCTCCCAGACAAACTCTCTATGCTGCTTCTGAGAGGGCTAGATACTGCTTTGACCTTTTAGCAGCCATGACCACATCAACATGGACTAAGCTGTCAGAACTGGCCCTGCATCCCCTGCAATGGCAGGTGAGGAAAAGTTCAGGGAATTGAGAGATGAGTTAGGGAGACTGGGCTTCTCAGGGGAGGGGAAGGAGGTTAAGAGGCGAGAATACAAGGCTGAAAAGGAGAAAGAGTGCCAGGTAGCACTTAATAGGAAAATAATTTAGCTATTAAATATTAGTAATTCAGCCAGGACCTGGGTCTGAATAAGTCTTATTGATAACTGGGGATTTACTAAAAGACAAGAGGTATGAAAAACTATTGAACAGATTAACAACATCTGGATCGTTAGCCAATTATCTTGTTCCTCTCCTGATTTCTCAACTGTTATATAGACAGTTTAAGTAAAAGATATTCTAAAGTCAGCTTCTTATCACTCAGAGTTAGACTATGAACTTGATGATATGTTATACACCCTAAGATTTATTATTCCCTAAACCTAGCAATCTGGCATTTGTGACACGCCAGGTGATTGTAGTTTGGACTGAAGTTGACTGCGATGCTGGAAGGGAGGCCAGAGAAGGAGGGTGGTGCCGACCCCGGCTATGGATCCTGCCACTGGACACCACCCGGTGGGCTTCAGGAGGGTTTTCCACGTAATTGAAAGCTGGTCAGTTATGCTAATTATACAGTGAGATTAAAGCAAACTCACCCTAGCCATTACGTTTGCCATGCTGACTCCGAGGTAGGCGGTGAACAGGGCTACAAAAAAGAGGAAAGAAGAATGCTTGGTAGATGCACTTTTAATCACAGGAAAGAATGCCTTCCAACATAACCCCCCAGGAACGGATGCTTCCACATCTTACTGGGTAGCCTAGCACCTTGGTTACATGCATGAGCCTAGAGCTGGCAGCTCTGAGTTCAAATCCTGGCTCTACAACCTGCTCTGTGGACTCTGTTCTAAGCTTCCATTTCCTCCCCTGTACAATGGAAGTGATAAAAATCTCTCTCTCTCATGAGGTTGGTGTGAGCATGAGAGGAAGTAATGTTTGTGTTTAGCACACAGTAATGGCTCAATAATGGTAGATTTTTTTGTGGTTACTATTTTGTTGTTACTGCTAATATTTAAGGGAAGGCCATCCATGGCAAATACTTTTCCCTCTTGTTTTATCCAAGCATAATTGAATTAAAATGAAACTTATGAATATTTCTTGAGCTAGTATAGTTTCTATGCAATCTGACTGCTTCTAGAATTCTCATACCGATGGTTAGAATTCACAGCTACAAAGGATCATGGTATGGTGCTCACTTCGGCAGCACATTATACTAAAAAAACCCAAAAACCTATGGTATATGAAGCTAGGAAGGTGACAACTTAGAGAACAGCAGAAACTGAACATAAACTTGAGATTCCTCCCCAAAATAACATTTTTCCAAATACTATTAATGTCAATGAATAAACATCTTATGGTTTTATTTATACTGAGTGAGCAAAAAAAAAAAAAAAACCACTTTCAATGTAAAACAACAAAAACAAAGATCTCAACTAGTTAATCATCAATTCCTCAGTTTTGGTTGAAGAGGGGGCCTAAGGAGGCTCAGGGAAGCCCTTAGGTGGCACAAGGACAGCCTGAAAAATGCCCTTCAGACATTGGCCACACAGCCACTTAGGCCACCAGAGCTCACTGTTACACACTCACCGTCTAGTCTTCATGTTTGGCGAGAAATCACATCAGCTATCTTCCCACCAGGAAAAGGTGGGATGGACTCTGTGAGCCTTGTTTACTTAACTATACAGACTTCTGTCCTTTTATCAATATTTTTTCTTTTCATCTTGGTGTTACTTACTCAACAGCATAATGAATTATTTCCTAGCTGAATTGTCTCATGCTAGTGGGAAGGGCTGGTCTTTGAAAACAGTACTGATTTCATATCCCAGCTCTGTCATCTTATTTGCTGTAAAACAAATCACTCAATTTCTCAGGATCTAGTTTCATTATTTGTAAAAAGGCAACTTGAAGATCTGGTTTACAGGGAGGTGATGAATCTCAAGTGAGATCATGTATTTCTACAAACAGCAGCTGTAAACTCATCCCTTTCACCTTGGGATTGAGATATTGTTCTGAACAGAAGGGTGCTCATGGCTTGGGCTAGAAAAGTTTCTCTAGTTGATTGAATCAATTTCATTCATTTTAAGAATTTAATTAATTCATTCAACAACTATTGACTGCTAAGCACCAGGGACACTCCATCCCTGCTCTCTTGAGGACCAGCTCTGCCAGAACACCTCTCCTGAGCACAGGAGATCTTGTTATCATTGCTCCTTTTAAAATACCTGTTCCACTTCTGCATGGCTAAGGAACTAATTAACAGAGCAAACAGAAAACTTACAGAACGGGAGGAAATATTCACAAGTTGTACCTCCAATAAAGGACTAATAATGAGAGTCTACAAAGAACTCAAGCGAATCAGCAAGGAAAAAATTAAACAGCCCCATTAAAAAGTGAGCAAAAGACATGAACAGAAGCTTCTCAAAAGAAGATAGACAAATGTCTAATAAACATATGCAAAAATTCTCAATGTCACTAATCATCAGGGAAATGCAAATCAAAACCACAATGGGATATCACCTTACCCCAATTAGAATGGCTTTTATTAAAAAGTCCAAAAACAATAGATGCTGGCATGGTTGCAGAGAGAAAGGGATGCTTATACACTGTTGGTGGATCTGCAAATTGGTACAACCTCTATGGAAAACAGTATGGAGATTCCTCAAGGAACTTAAAAATCGACCTACTGTTTGATCCAGAAATACCACTACTGGGTATTTATCCAAAGGAAAAGAAGTCATTTTATCAAAAAGACACCTGCCCTTGAATGTTTATTGCAGCACAATTCATAATTGCAAAGATGTGGAATCAACCCAAGTGCCCATCAATTCACGAATGGGTTAACAAAATGTGGTATATGTATATCACGGGTTACTACTCAGCCATGAAGAAGGATGATTTAATGCCTTTTGCAAAAATCTGGAAGGAACTGGAGACCATTATCCTAAGTGAAGTATCTAAAGAATGGAAAAACAAACACCACATGTACTTGCTATTAAATTGGACATAACTGATGAGCACACATGTGCACAGAGGGAAGTAAATCTTAATGGAAATCAAGCGGGGTAGGGTGGGGAGGGAAAAACCTACCTAATAGGTACAATGAGCACTATTTGAGTGATGGGCACATTTATAACTATGACTCAAGCATTATAAAAGCGATCCATGTAGCCCAAAACATTTGTACCCCCGTAATACTTTGAAATAAAAGAAAAACACCTGTTACATTTCTAAGGCTCACTTTTGGCACTTTCATGTCTCATACTGTTTCGTTGTTTTGAAGTGATCTCCTATTCTAAGTTGCTTTTCTCTCCGCAATAAAAGTGTCAGACTAGTTAACGGTCGGTACCCATCAATTCATACTTGCTGAGTAGGGCTGGGAAAGCCTTACATTAGAGAGGAAATTCTGCACCATGGGCAGTTCGTAGGCAATGACTCTGACAGCGTTTTTGGTAGCTGAGGGAAAGAAAAGGCCCTTGAGTACTGAAGGGGAGGCTGGATTTCAGCTTTTCACGGACAATGTTCCTTCCAACCAACTGCCACATGTGAGGTCTCCTCTGATAACCCAACCATTCAAAAGAGATACATAATGTGTTTACAGCTTCTACTGATACAACCATGACACTGAGAAATTCTCTGGCCATGTAATTTCTGGTTTAGAGGCTGGGAAGGCAGCACTGCCAGGTTCTATCAGAGTTTTCTAAGTCCACTTCCTGATAAAAACTTTTGGACCTAATAAAATAATAGCTCTGTAATAAATGCCTGTTATTTATTTACCTCGGCTGTCAAGGTTGGGCTTTTGTTTGGCAGTTTCAGGGTGAGGTGGACAAGCTGAAACTTGCTGTGGCATTTTACATGTGACATTTGCTTTCTGAAGGGGCTGGAGGTCTGTCCCAAACATTCATGTTGCAGAGATTAAAAACTCTGACAGCAACCACTGGGGACCAGGTGGGCACTGTCACACACTTGGTAGCAGTGGAAACTGGTATGGCCCTTTTGGGGATGAATTTGGCATCCACGGAAATTAAAATTGGCATTTCCTTTGACTTATCAATTTGGATTCTGGAAATATATCTTACAGAAATACTTGTACAAAGTACACAAGGATATTTGTACCAAAAATGTTTCTTGCAGCACTGTTGGTAATGGCTCTGAACTAGAAACCATCTGAACTTCTCCCAGCGAGAGGGCATTTGTCATATGAAGTACCTACACATTGGCCATCTCCGCTGCCTTGAGCAAGAGGTTCTACACCCTGTGATGTAGCACTTCCTCCGCCTCCCCTGACTCCTCAAACGCACCAGGAGAGATGCCAGCTCAGCCCTGGGCTTCCACTCCCCACTCAGAGATGCACCACCCAGACAGGTGATATCCTCAGTAAACATAAGCTTCAGGGACATCTGAAGAGAGCAAATACCATAAAAGAAGGGCAACAGACTGAACAACCTACAGTTGATAGAGCTTAATTAATGAATCGGAGGTGAAGAACTCAATAGATGGTGTGAACAGCACAATGGCTAGAGCCAAAGAATGATCAACTTAGGGCCTCATGAAGGGAGAAAGAGATGGACAATATTAAGAAAAAGTCAAGAGTTATGAAAAAAATCAACATAAAAGTATTGCATTCAAATACTAGAAGTCCCAGAAGGAGAGGGAAAAATAATTGGAAAGAAAAGATTTGAGAAATGAAACACTGCTAATATCTCAGCTTTAAGGAAGATATGAGCACTCACATTGTGAGGAATTGAGTGCCTAGTAGCACTGAAAAGGAAAAAAACCCACATCTAGGCAGACAATAGTGAAAAAAATTGTCTCATATGCACATAGAAAATTCTAAGAGTCCAGAGAGAAAAACAAAATCACTCCTAACAAGAATCAGATTCTTCTCAGACATCTTAATAGTAATTTGGGGTTTAAGAAGACATTGGAATAGTGTTTGAAGACAATTTTCAAAGCATTGAGAGAAAAAAGTTAAATCTAGAGTTTTGCAGCCAGCTAAACTAAAATTTAAATAAGAATGAGGTAAAGATGTTCTCCGGCATTCAGGGTCTTTGAAGGTTTATCTCGGAAAACCTTCTTGGAAACCCTCTCTGAAGAAGGAATCCAGCAAGAAGACACAGAGACACAGGTTAATATGAGCTATGGGGGGTAAGAGTGATTAAGCAAGCTATTTAATAGTAAACCTTATGGTTGCCTAAATAAACAAGTACCAAAAAATAAAGGCATTTACTTACAACAAATCCAAAATAAAAATTGTGCACAGTATCAACGGTGTCAGTAGTTGTTAGGGGGCAGGTCCTCCCAGAGGAAGACAAGCAGGCTAAGCTATCAGTCATACTTGGGGAGATATAGGTATTGATAAACTTAAGAAGTCAAGAGGGGTAAATAAACAAGCTCGAGTCTTAATAAGTTACGCAAAGCCACTAGAGAAAGTTACTTTCAGACCCTTAAGTAGTGCTTGCCAAGTGCTAGACACTGCTTATGTTTTATGTGCTTTATGCACACATTGGCTCATTGAATCCTCCGAACAATTCTATGTGGTAAATGCTGTAACCCCCATTTTTTAAGATGGGGAAACTGAGGCACAGAGGAGTTAAGCCATTTGCTTAGGTTCATAAAGCTATTAAGTAGCAGAGCTGGGATATATAAATCCAGGCAGCCTGGCACCAGGGTCTGAGCTCTTAACTAGTTCAGTACACTGCTTTGACCATTATGCTATGCTGCTAGAGAAATCAGATCTATCCAAAGGAGGGTAGTGGGGTAGGCAGAATAATGGCCTCCCAAAGATGTCCATGTCTTCATCCCAGCACCTGTGGGTTGTTACACACGGCCAAAGGAACTTTGCAGCTGCGACTAAGTTAAAAACCTTGAGGTGGAGATCATCCCGCACTATCTGAATGGACCCAATGTAATCACAAGAGTCCTTAAAAAAGGTAGGCAAAAAAGTTCTACCTGGGGGTAGGATGGAGTATTTTCACTTTCTGCTTTACGCTTTTCTATACCGATTGAATTTTTGTTTTGTTTCATATAATAAACCTGTACTGCTTCTATAACTAAGAAAATAGTAAAGAAATAAGAAAATACTATAACTAAGAAAATAACAAGGATATTCCCTCTTTAGGGAAACACATCTGCAAACATGTTTGGCTTCATCCCTCTCCACGGTCTGTCAAAACCTCACCAACACCTCCTGTGCCCAAAATGGTTTCTGTTTGATCCTAAGGGATGTACTCAGGCTGTCCCTGTGCTGGCCTGTACATACCATCCTTTCCACCAAATGGAATCCCTCCTCTCATTTTTTAGGATTTATGGAAAAGCCAGGAGGCTCTCGATGATTTTGAATTGTAGTGTTCCCCCAGAGTCCTGTACTGTAGATTTCTCTTTGTTCAGCTACCAAGATGGCATGATCTCCCGTGGGCTCCCTCCCTCACCTGGCTTCTCCTCTCCACTGTGGCACTCTGTCCGCAGGAACCGCAGGGGACCTAAGGCTTCTACACCCCTCACTCCTCCTAGCGCTGTCTGGGCTGTATCCCGAGTGCTTGGTACATATTTGCCGTTACTGCCTATGGAAAAAATAAGGCCATGCACCCCAAACAAAGGTTTCAAACCCCAAACCCATCTCAGAATAAAGCTGGCAGGTTGTGGAATAAAAGATTCTAATCCAGCTGTGCTCAGGTGGTTACAGAATCTGTCCTTAACCCTGTCCTTTGCCCTAAGCCTGTGAACAAATAAGGAGAATGAGCACGAAGTTTCGACAGAACTATCAGGTGAAAGAGCTGAGTAACTGTGAAAAGATTGACAAAATGACATCGAAATGGCAACACCAGAGCAACCTGAGTTTTGCCAACCTCGCTAGAGCATCAAGTCAAAATTGAACGAGGTCTTAGAAACCCTTGGTCCCATCCCCTTTCCTGCCAATGTAGGAATCCGTTCCAAATCCTGCCTGGCGGTGACCCACCATTTTAATAACTGCTCAGATATTTCGGCTTGATTAATCTGGTGATAAATGGACTCTAGACATATATTCCCACCAGATTAGAAACAGTTTTTCCGCATTCCACTAACCTTTTCACACTTTTGTCCCCAAGAGATTGTCATTCCCTCCACTCCAGAATACTATCTTAAATGCTTTGACTTGTATTGAATTAGGAATGCCAGAGGCTATGGGCCAATAAGCTTCCCTTTGTAACCAGCTTGGGCAATCCACTAGCTTTTCAGATCCAAATTACATGAGGTCTGTTTTAGCCTAAGGGCCTGAGTGTACAGGGAAGCAGAGGAGTGTAGTGGGAGTCACTCTGGGGGCTATTGGAAAAAGTGGATTCCAGGTTTGGATTTGTCCCTAACTGACCAGATGGCCGTCAGCACGTCCCTTGACTTCTCTGGCCTCAGTACACACAGTGAAATGAAAAGGGTGGAGTGGAGGTCTCCAGAATGCCTTCTAGCTCTGAGAGGCTGAGTCTGGCTTGAATACTGGGGATCAGAAAGGATTAACGCAGCGCTTCTCGAAATGTGTCCCCAGAAGAGCAGCATCAGCCTGGGAACTTACTAGAAATGCAAATTCTTCCCCCTACCCTAACACTGAATCAGAAACTGATAATGGGGCCCAGCAATTTGTGATTTAACAAGCTTTTCAGGTGATTCTGATACATGTTCAAGTTTTAGAACAGCTGGATTAATGTGATTCCAAGGGCCACATGTGACTCTGCATGTGACAAGGTTCTGTATTTAGCCTGAGTTATTTCCTTTGAGGTTTTGGAGTTAAACAGTTAGTATAAAGAGCACAGGACAAGCCAAGTTTTTATCCCCCAAAACATACATATTTTAGAATGGTTAATATGACACAGCAGGCTCCTGTCTTCACAGCGAGGTAGGCTGAGGTGGCTTTAATACTCCTAGAGAGAGGATGTCACTGTCCTGTTCACACACTTACATAGGTAGCAAGTGGGCCCAAACTGGAATCCCTGCCCTAATTTCTCACTCAGTCCTTTGTTACTGCTTGTTTTTGATTTTATCCCATAGTCATGAGCAACCCTACCCCGAGATGCAAGATGCGTGGGATACTCACCGCAGGCGAGAGCCAGGAGGTGGGTCTGCCAGGTGAGGGCCACAAACATTCCTCCAATTGCAATGCAGGACAGAGAGCTGTTGAAACCCCAGAGTCCTAAGTAGATATCTTCAAATGGAGCCGAGAGACTGAGTCCTATTAAGCAAGACAGGAGGGGGCAGAACTTGAGACTAAAGCAGGATGCTCTGGAAGGAGTCTGGTGGGGTTGGAGGGCAGGGGGAAGCATGCGGAGAGCTCCCATTGGTCCCTAGGAAGCAGAGACCTCAAGACACTTCTGGAGTACAGATGCCCAAGACAGTGCATGGGACGGAGGAGGTGCTCAGTACTGGGTAAGGGATCTTATGCTTACCTGCCACTGTGCCCAGCAATGACCCGATTGCAGCGTGCAGGGACATGAGTGGGGAGGAGAGTAGGATGGCACACAGGAAAATGCCCCCTGTCCACGGATTGTCACAGCCATATATCTGACTAACCCCCACTGGCACAGATTTCAATAACTGCAAAGGAAATTTAAAAAATGAGGCCACTAAAACAACTCTACAGGAACCTAAAGGACACCCACAAACTTGTACAATGTAATTTTAGATTTAACATGCCTCATCTTCCAAGATCAGTGTTACTACTTTAAAAAATTCTGTCTCTTTGATTACAGAAAAATCCCAGTCATTCTTCATCCTTATCCCCAGAGATACATCAGCCCTTCCTTGGCGCATGGTAAACACGCCTTCTTGAAACTCTCCCTCTGCTCACTGGCTCTCCTGCTTGCACTGACACTCGGTCTTGGTCACTGCTAAGCTCCCAGTTTGCTCTCACTGCTCCTGGCTGTGGGGAGCTGCCACGCCTCCCGCTGAGGATGGCTGGGAGCACAGCTGACACTTCTTTTGCTTTCAACTGTCCATCGGTGCTGAGGGCAATCCATCAGTGCATCCCCATGTTCAATAGAAATATTATTACTATTAATGCTGTGCAATTTTGTTGCTTACACTAAGACTGGAGACCTGAAGCTGGGTTATCTTAGTTACGATGTGGAAGCAATTATTGGCAAGTTCATGAATCAAGGCCATATTTACCCTTCTGTTGTTAGGTGGAATGTGTAGTAAGCCAAAACATCTTTTGCTTATTCCATTTCCTAATAACTGTCAATCAGGCCTCAAAACAAAAAAATACACGCAAATGTCACAATTCTATTCTCTGGCTGAAGACTGAATTTACCTAATGTGCTCACAGGATGGCAGTTTTCAGGAAGGTACAGGGTTTGACTTAAGCTAACAAATGATCATTCTTTATAACAAAACTTTTGGTAGGGCCAGCATAGGCATAATTACCCAGGACATTTTCTTCTTGACCAAGACTGTTTACTGAAAGATGTCTTGTCCAGCACCCCTGTCTTGCCCAGTTCTCCATTTCTAGGTCACGTGTTACCTCCCAGCAAGGACCTTCTGGAGGCAGTGACTCTGACAGAGGGAGCCCCAGCCTTGGCACGAGGAGAAGGGTCCTCTGCGTTCTTGTGTTAGGCTGAGTCTACCGTTGGCTTCCATTTGTTGGCTTGGTCCTTGCTCAGTGCAGTGGACCACAGCATGACTTCGACTCTGCCTGAAGATGGGCTCTAAATTCCTCCAGCCCATGCTGGGCCTTCATGTCTACACAAGGTCATCTCCTGTTTCTTCTATTAATTGACCAGGGAGCTTGGCGAAGACGGCTTTTATGTCAGAACTTGACAGCAGAACTATCCCTCCAGTAGCCATGGGATGGGGGGTTGGGTGAGATGGCTGATAAATGTGCTGGTGACAGGCTGGTGGTTCAGGGTGAGAAGGACAAGACCTCACTGCCCAGATCAGCACCATCCAGTGGAACTTTCTGAGATGATGGAGTAGTCTATATCCTGTGCTGTACAATATAGTAGGTAATTGCCACGTGTGGCTATTGAGCATCTGAAGTGTGGCTAGTGAGGTTCAGGAACTGAATTTTTAACTCATTTACATCTAAATTTAAATCGCCATCCAGGGCTAATGGCTCCTGTGTTGGACAGTGCAGTTCTAGATAGTTTCATGCTTTGTTGTAATATTGTTTGTCATGGGTAGTTCTAATAAAACTTTGATTTTTCCTTCTGAGTTATTTCCAAATGCTCCCAATCATTTTCTGGGCAAGAAGTTAAAGAAAAGGCTACTTGAGTTCCTCATATGTTTTGACCACTCAGCAGAGAAGGTGTTTCATAATCTGATAGCAGGAGAGCCAGTATTTTGCCCATTAAAAAGCTAAGGTTTCTTTTGGTTTTCTTCTAATTTCAAGTGTTCTCTTGTTCTTAATAATAAAGAAACTGTAAACAGATTTATTAAATAGTACCAACAGGAAGAGCTGGAATTTGATTTGGATTAACCAGGTTTTTAAAACTACGTGTGATCTCTCTGTGCCCATCTGTGAAGAGCTACATAGTATGCAACCTGTGATACAACGGTTCTCAAACTCTGGTCTGCACCACAATTTGGGGAGTTTGTTCATACAAGTCCCAACCCCCAGAGATTATGATTTAGAGGTCTGAGATGAAGCCTGCTTTGGTATTTAAAAAACTCCCCAAGTGATTCTGATGCCTACCAAGGCTTGAGAGCCCTAGATTATTGTACATATTCTATGAGATCAACCATAAGAAAAAGCAGGTTAGAGAGGCTCCGTAATGAGCTCTGAGAGTGAGCATCAGTTCTTTGGAGCTAGCACTGTAGATAATTAGAAAAAAAGGAGGGGGGGAAATTAGCTTTGACCAAATAGTCATTTAAAAAAAAAAATCCCATAGATCCAAAAACTCTGAAGTAGAACAAATGCTTTAGATGGCAGGATCAAGGCAGAAAGGCCACCCTACAGCCGAACATCTAGGGGACTCTGATACCCATGGACAATTAACCAGGGGCCACTGGGTACCTTCCAGAGGTGGGGGGAAATGTGAGATGATAATGTATCTTACCTCCAGGGCACTGAGGTCAGGCCAGGAGATATTTGGAACTGAGGTTATAGGTGTGAACAGTTTGCCCGGAAAGAATGGATTGTAATGTCCCGTGGCCGAGAGGTACATGGACAATGCCATGTTGAAAGGGAGGGTGAAGACAGGGAGGTCCCATTTGCACAGCACAGAGTTCAACGCGCTTGAGAAAACTGGACTAAAAAAGAACAGAGAAGAAGAATGAGCATGTGACAAGCCAGGTTGACAAACCACATCTCTGTACTATGGAGGGGCTTTGTTTCATCTGTCCCTAAAGTGTTGTGTTGGCAAACTTCCCACAGAAGGAAAATCCTGGGATAAATCCTACTGTCAAGACAATAATTCTTACATAAAGTAAAAAATCAACTCTTAGCTTATTTGGCTTTTGAAAAATTATACTCTGGAGTTGCTCAGATTGCCTTATGCACCAAGGTTTTCAAAATATTTCTGAAGCACTTAAGATCTACAAAATAAAATATCTATATTGTTAAGGCCCCCTGGGTAACTCCACTTGATCAAATGCCTTTTCCTCCCCACCAGAGGCAACCACCCTGAATTTGGCATACATCATTTCTGCATGTCTTTAGTATATCTAATAATATTTTTGGAAAAGAGAAACTGTTCAAGGAAGGAGGCAGGTGGTGTGGGCTGGAGGAAAAAGATCTTACAGTTGGGGACAGAGTTTGCATACTTGAGCTGTTGATAACTGTGTGACCTTAGGCAAGACACTTCTCCCCAGTTTCCCTGTCTGTAAACTGGGGGGTTGGATTACAAGGTCCCCAGGCCCCTGTGTGGCTCTCACTTACTGACCCAATCAAGGACCCCATCACTTTAAGATCAGATCTCCAGATTTCCTGGACCAGGGGAGGGGGTGAGCGAGCACCCACAGGCGAGGTCTCCTGCCCTTGAACATATCCTTCACAGCAGCTCCCAAGTCACCTCCTGGGGAAGCTGGCTTTACAGGTAGGTCCTGCTCCACACAGGTACCTGTGGGTGCAGTGAGGGTGGGTGGCCCTTCTGCAGATGCTTCTCATTTGTGTGCATGCTAATATTTTATATTCTAAGTACAAATTAGAACAAAGGAAATGTTTGCTTCCAGAAAAAGGATTTAAGGCAATGCCAGCAGAGAAACTATTTTGTAGGATTTTTGAATTCAGTAGAAAAAAATTTTTGAAGGGGATGGGGGTGTCCCTGGACCAGCTGTATCAGCATCACCTGGGAACTCATTAGAAATGCAAATTCCCAGGCCCCACCCCAGGTGGATGGTATCAGAAAACCTGGGTTGTGGTAGCAAACTTCTGTGGTTTAACAAGCCCTCCAGGTGATCCCAATAGTGTTCAAATGTGCAAACCACTGATGGAGAAAGTGGGGCTCAACTTTGGCTATAATTTTTTTTTTTCTTTTAGAGTCAGGGTCTTGCTCTGTCACCCAGGCTGGAGTGCAGTGTTGAGATCATAGCTCACTGCAGCCTCAAACTTCTGGCCTCAAGTGATGCTCCTGCCTTGGCTTCCCAAAGTGCTGGGATTACAGGTGTGAGCCATGGCACTCAGCCTTTGGCTGTACTTTAGAATCACCTGGGGAGCTTTGAAAACTCCTAATACCCAGACAACACTGCAGTCCAATTACATCAGAATCTTGGAAGGGGGCTGAGAGGTGTGTGGGGCCATGTGCATCAGTGTGTTGACACCCCCCAGGAGGCATCAGTGTGCAGCCAGTGTTGGGAACCTCTGGTTGCGGGGAAGGTATTGGAGGGGCTGCAGGGGCTCAGACATAATGCCTGGTTGTAAGGAAACACACATCTTTTTGAATGGTTGTTTCTGTTTCCAGTACACATAAAAATTGTGTTATTATTTAAAAAATTGTGGTAAAATACACATAACATAAAATGTACCCATTTTTAAGTGTGCAGTTCAATGGCATTAAGGACATTCACATTGTTGCACAACTGTCACCGCCATCCATTCACAGAACATTTTTCGTCTTGCAACACTGAAACTTTGCACCCATGACACAATAATTCCCATTCCCTCCTCCTCCCATAATTTATTTTAAAAAGGCATTTTGAAACCCAGGTACAACTTACCAAGTCATGGACATAGCAGATACGGGGAGTAACAGCCACCAGAAATAGTTTCCCTTCTCCGAAAAGATAGCTATGAGTAGTCCCAGCAGGGTGGCATTGTAGCCCTGGAGCCCAGCTGCAATGGCTGCCCTGCAGGGCGAGAGGCATGGCACGGACATTTCTCAAGTGTATTGGGTTGGACTTGCCATAAATAACACTGGTAATTATGTTCACATTAGAAAATAAGATTGTGTTTGGAAATGTATTTCAAAGTCTATGTAAGCATCATAGAAATACTAATAAAAACACGAAGAAGTGAAAGATACGTAGATAAAAGTACGAATGTGCATATAAGCAACTCCCTCCACAGGGGTCACAGCCAAGACAGTCTGAGGGGGGACAGGGGGATCAGTAAGGCAACCTGCTCTGCAACCTTCTAGCTGTTCCTTTGCAAAATTAATATTATTTCTTTTAAATCATTTAGGGCCTCTGACTTGAATAGAGCTTTTAGCACATGACATTGGTTTCCTAAGTTTGATTTC